TAAATTCGGAGCATATGTGTTTATTTATAACAATTTAATTCAAGGAAAATGGTATTTTCTTGCATAAATCTGAAATAATCTTCCAACGCGACCAGTAATTTTAAGTGGATAGAGAAGCATCCACATTCTCAAGCAAGCATTGATAGTAGTAATTTGATCAGACCAAGCTTTTCTGTCGATACAAGACCGAACTTCTTACTTCTTATACGCACTGTTTATGTTTATTCTCCAAATCCCTTGCCTTCGGTCTGCCTAGCCAGCAGTCTCATCCAAATCACTAACAAATCTACTATTCACATCTATTACCAGATTTACATGGAACTAAATGCCGGCTATTTGTTCACGTGTGCGAATTTCTCTCCTCATACTCCAATCAGTTGAGTCGTTCCTATATTTGTGTAGCCTTCTAGAGTTTGGTTGTACTTGGAGTCCAGGGTCGCGTCTGTTTTTATGCTTTATAGGCTAGACATTAGTAGATGGAACGATCACTGTGTATCTACAGTTCTGAAATTCACAGGATGACGATAAATGATATGATGGAGGATTACTTGCAATGTTCAGACGCCTCTAAAGCTTAGTTTAAATAGAGAGCTCAGTACATGAATTTCTTCGAAATGGAAATTGAATTCCTCGAAGTAATTAATTGGAACTTTAATAGCCACATCTTCTGTATTCTCTTGTCATTCTCTACCTAATTTAATCCCTCGACCGTCTTCTTTATCATCAATGATTCCTCCCCACAACATCACACATTCGGGCAAACTGTCTTTTTTGCACAACCTCAAGAGTCTACCTATCTTCCGTCACTAAGTGAACTGTCAGACAGCAATATCACCATCAATTCGGACGATTCCACTACAGTGGCCACCACAATCAGTGTCCATGGTGTCTTCGGTAGAGATAGTGATGAGACCGACAGCGAGGCCGATCAGCCCACCAATTGGCAATATATTGACTTCACAACACGCTCTGTTGTGCAAGCCGGCACGGGTCAGCGCTTCTGCCTTGTTTGCCACACCCAGTGTTATCATGGCTGTTCAGGTCCGGGGCCTACCGACTGCAAGGAGTGCCGGTCTTTCCAGATCTACCTCGATGCGGCCAAAACGAAGGTGAATCAGTGTGCCTTTCTGCTAACATTTACCTTCCTGTGTCATTTTGAGCGTGATGACAAGAAGTGTTTTGGAACTTGAATGTAACAGTAGGTGAGACAAACGGAGCCAAAAGGTTTCCACAGTCTAA